GGCAATTTCTTTCCCACGGAGTTGTCGAAGCTCCGTGGGTTTGGTTCGGCTCTCTGGCCCTGGAGTTGTTAAGGCTCCGTGGGTTCGGATCTTGAGTATATAGGATAGGGATACGTCTAGGATTGCGCTCAGCGACGGGGAAAGGCCAGAGGCTGTTTAGACCTCTGTTGCCTTCTTAAGAAATGCGTTGGGTTCATAAGGATCTTCAGCGCTTAGAGATCTTCACGCTCTCCCTCTCAGACTCCAATTGCTTTCTCTCCAACTTGGGCGGAAACCACCCAAGCTCTTTATACGGCTAGCAAGCCAATTGCTAGCCGCCACGTGTGCATAATTTAACACAAGCCAATAATGGGGCTCGAATTAAAATACAAATGGCGGGAACTCCTTTGCACCGTGCATTTCTGAGATGCAAAAGAAATGCACCATGCAAAGAAAGCTATAAATTGGCGGGAAAATTCTCCATTGCACCGGAGTTCTCCTCTGCAGCAGAAAACTCCACCGTGCAAAGAAGCTGCAATTTAACGGGAACATAATTTAGAGGTGCCGAAGCACACACAAACAAAAACTCACAACTTTGGGTTGTGACAGGTAGAAGAGGCTTAGGGGCAAGCAGGGAACAGAGACTGTGGGGAGGGGGCAGGCATAAGAATGGGGCAAACTCCCCACACCACCTGCCTCCCCACTGCCTGCCCCCCCATTGGAGGGATGAATTAAAGACTTCATCCAATAATGAGGTTCCATACATAGAACATTATAACAAACTTATGCATTTTCCATGTATAAAGTCTAATTATTGGGGGAGTTGTCTTTAAATTCAGGACCATCTTGGATTCAAGAAAATACAGTAAATCATAATTTTAGAAATAGAGCCTTTTTATGAAACAATATCCATGTATTTAAAAGCCCTTGGAGACTCCTACAGTTAGTGTATGATCTCTGCTGCCTCCAGCATATGTTGGGCATGGGAGGGCGGGGGTAGGACAACGATCAGAATGACTGTCATAGCTCCTCCTTTATCTGGCCAGCTCCTGAGGCTAATTCCACTGCCTTGCTTTGCTAAAAACCCTCTGATGGGGTGAGAGGAGGTATAAAGTTGGCTCCTATTTGCTGTAACCCTTAGTATACTTTCTCACACACATACTGGAGAGTTCTTATACTAAATGGTGGTGTTTTCTCTACTTTTTGTGCTGCTTCAGTCAGACAGAAGAAATTATTTGCTTCCAAAAGTGCAGTGTGGTGGTGGAGCAGCAGAGCTATTTGGGAGTTGGAATTCAGCCATGGGGCAGTTTCACCAACATGCAAAGTATTACTCAAATGTTCTGCAAATCTGGAACCCTGTCTTGACAGAACACCTAAACCTTAAATGTGTCATATTGAAAGAGGATGTCTTTGGTAGCTGTGTTGGTCTGACAAAAAGAAATGCAAAACTCTACAACTCTTGGTTCAGAAATAATACCTTTTATTAGACCAACTAAGAAATTGCAACAACAAAAAAAAGAAGAAAAAAAGATCTTTTTCTGGTGTGTGCCCGAAAGCTTGCAGAATTTTTTTTGGCGATTTCTTACTTGGTCTAATAAAAGGTATCATCTCTGAATCGAGTTCTAGAGTTTTGCATTTCATATTGGAGGAGGGCTTTTTGTTAAGTTACTTTTACTTTAACATTCATTCTAAATGCTGAGTCTACAAATCGGGTCACTAAAGCTGTTTACATTACTTTACCTATAAGGGTTTTTCTTGGGAAGTTCACATCTCTCTCAAATTTTTTTAATGCGTTTCTTTTGATGCATCATAAAGGTAACTTCCCTCTATCTAGAAAGTCTCACGTGCAAATCCTTAATTGCCACCTTTAGAGAATCCTTTTGCATATACATAACTCTGTGTGGTGTGTGTTTCATTTTGTACATGTAAAAAATTCCCTGATATTAATTACTAGTTCACAATGTTATCTTAGAAATAATGAATGCTGCTCTGTAAGTGAGTGTCTTGGTTGAGGGGGAGATATTTGTGTGGGTTATGCTCCTCAAGGTAGAGGGACCTAATGACTGTTGCAACAGAAGGCTTTTAGCTGAATGTAATTCTGCAGTTCTTTGTGGCAAGTATTTCTAGGGCATCAGTGTTGTCATCATGGTCTTAGCTAGCCAGTTAACAAAGCTGACTGCAAACTTTTTAACAATATTTATGAAGCAGCCTTTTGTTTCAAGGAGTTTATTATGGTATAGTTTTCACTGGTCAAGAGTCTGAGAGCATTGTAGTACTGTAATTCTCATGTTTATGGTTGTGTTGCTTATGGTAGTGCTTTCCTACTGCTATAATCCCATTAACAGTTGCTGCTTGAAAAATGTATTTGTATGCTGTTTGGCTAATTTTGGCTAGAAATTCAACTTCAGTTCTGGTGTTCCCACACTGTTAACTATGGCAAACTTAATTTCACACAAGAAATAAAACCTTTTCATAGGACTTCTGCTGGCAGGAAAAATCTATAGAGTGAATCCCTACCTAAACCTTCTTAGCAGTCTGCAGGTGCAAGTCAGTTGCAAGACTCATTTTGAGGAACCTGAGGGAAATATTCTGTTTCCCCATTGCTTGAATAATCTTTCAGCGATGGCCATCTTCTTTTATCTAGGCTCTAATGGTAAACAGCTGAAAACATTGGAGGCTGTATTATTCTTAGATTTTTTTTCTTTAATAAATTCAAATAGGAATTTTTTCCTTCTTTCTCTAACCGAAATCGAATTCAAGGCACTAACTGGTAAGATAGACTATATTAGTGCATTGCACATTACTTTTTTTTTTTTTTTTGCAGTATTGATCTTTAGCCAAATCTTACCTTCATTATTTTGGCTCAATATATACTTCCTATTCATAATTCCTCCTGAGCTGTTTTTTTAAAAAGAAGTGAAAACGTATTTAAAACTTTCCATAACTGCTCATTCAACCACTAAGTAAAATGGGCACAGCACAGATATCTTGAAATGGCTCCTTTATGACAAGTTGTTATCTCTTCGTCTGTTGCAGGAGAGAACTTTGACCAGAGTCCCATACGAAGAACTTTCAAGTCTAAAGTTCTGGCACATTTTCCTCAGAATATAGAATGGAACCCCTTTGATCAAGATGCAGTGAACATGGTACGTGTGTTTGTTCTGTCCACACATTGTTTCCCAGTGTCTTGACATCTCATTTTACAACCAAGAAGATTGTCCTGCAATATATTGAACCATTTCTGAAACATTCTAATACTATAACAATGATTGTATCGGTGGTGGGTTTTTCCCTCTTTTAAAATGAAGACTTCTTGATTAAAGGCACAGAGACATATGGTCATATATAGTGATAGCATATATATTTAGAGGAGAACTGTATGTGTGTAGTGGCTTGAGTTTTTGTTTGGTTTTTTTTTTTGTGGTTTTTTTAAACTAAGCACCTGGAATACTCTTGCATTTCAGCCCCCCAGTGCAAGAAGGACAGGACTTAATGGCATCTGTATTGCAGCGTTAGGATGTGTATTCTTTGCATTCTGTTGTCTAAAGAATAACTGTTCCTTTTTGTTCACATTTTTAGGATTTTCTGTAATCATAATTAAAAAAAAAAAAAGTTGGATAGTTGGATAACACTTGCCTTTAGCTGCTTTAAGAATAGCATCAGATATTACAAGGTTTGTGATAATTTCAGGTATTGCAACTTTAATTAACACTGGCACTGCTGCAAAGCATACACACAAAAAAAGTAGCATCAGACTTCTGGCTGTCATTCTTCTTAAATAATGATGCACATAAATTTCCATGCTGTCTCTGTTCCCAAATGCAGAGCAATAAGGACAATGAAAGACTTTGGGTAGGTCAGGACAGACTTTGGGCAAAGTGAATTAATTTAGTAGCACCCAAAATACTGGTTTGGCTGCTTCTGCCAATTAGTAGGCAAGCTGTTAACGTTTGTCTTTAAACGGCAAAGGCCAGTAGATGCAATGAAAAATGGGAGGTATCTGGAAGTAAAAGCCATAATTGTTACCCAATATACCATCAGATACTTTGTGGAAAGGCTGATTTTTAATGGTGTACAAAAGAAAAAAAAGCATCAGGTTTTAGATCAACCTACAAGAGCTGGATTTAAAAACGAAATTCAGCTGTAAGTCATTTAAGAGTGTACTTCCATACCTGATACGTTCTAACAAAAGCAGCAATATTATAGACCGTATTAATATGCTTTTTCCTTATCCTATGCAAAACTCTAGAATTGTTTTGCCTCAAAACATCACCTATGGGGAAAAATTGCCCCTTAATTGAGACTATTATTGGCCTTTTTGGTCTTTTCCCTACTGTGTTGGTTTTGTCATCCGTTGCCGCTCCATTTTATATAAGGTGGACAACAAGGCAGTTCTCTTTAGGAAAGAAGAATATCCAAGTCTGTGAAGGGTAACCTATCAGAGCATCCTGTCTCTGCTAAATATTAAAGGAATTACAAATGCTGTATGAAAACCTGTTATTAAACAATCCAACCCCATTCACGCTATGAAATCATTCTATCTATAGGCCACACTTGCTTTCCCTTGATTAAATACTAAAGATATAATTTACAGTAAAAAGTATGTGTTACGTATTTGTTGCTTATTGTAATTATCCGTACCTAAGATCATAATCTTCTGTGACTGTTCGACAGCAGCCAATAGTGATTCTTTCTTTTACTGCCTTGGTACAGAAGGCAGTAAAAGCTTAAATACAGTTCCTAGCTTTGATTTCCTGATTTAGCAAGGGAAATGCATGTATATCTTCGCTGAAGTCAAAGGGACTCTTTGCATGTGTAAAATTAAATGTGTATTATTATAATTTAGTTTTGTATCCTGCTGTATTCAGAAAGGCTCAGTGACTTTCAGTAAATGACAAACAACCCACAGATGGAAAAACAACAGTAGCTTCCCAAAATGATGCCCCCAAACTTGAAAATCCTGCCTCATCCCACCTACTTCTTCCCAGCTCTTAAGATGCAAGTCCTCTGCTGAACTCAGACCTTTTTTTTGCAAACACCCCTAATTAGAAAACAACGATGAGTAGGCAGAATTATTTCCAAATTAATTCTAATAATAGGTACAATATAAATGTTCAGCTTGATAGCAGAACTCTTTCAAAGCCAAGAACATGTCTGTTAGTCTTTAGTCTTGAATTGCTTACTACTTTTAAATATGACTGCAGTAAAGATGACTTTCTTCTTCCCCAATTTTTTCAACTAACATTTTGTGGATGAAGTTGTACCATCCTCTTATGTTCTTCATTTTATTATGTTTAATAGCCTGCCAATGTCATGTAGAGCATAGGAAAGTATCTCTTTTATTTTTCTATATAAACTGAAATAAATACATGGATGCAATTCTTCTAAGGAACTTATGAAACCATGCTTGGAAAAAGGATGGTAGGGCGTACAGCAGCTTTTTGGGGGGTTGTTTGTTTTTTAAGATTACTCTTGTGACTAGTCTCTGGTAAGGACTTGTATGGGGACTACTTCTCACAGCATAGACATGCCCACCTGTCAGCTGGGTTTTTTACTAAAGAGGCTGGTGTTGCCCTGAAGCCAAGTTCATAGTAGGGCTGTGCGAAACACCATCATTTCATTTCGACATCCATTTCGCCATTTCGAAGGGACAGTATTTTGCTTTGTTGTTTCGTTTTGAAACACTGCCCTGTTTTGTTTCGTTGAAACTGTTTCACTGTTTCGACGCGTTTTGACATTTTGCCCATAGGCTATAATGGGAATTCATGAAAATGCCTATAACCTTGTCATTTCTTGCCTGATTGAGATGAAAATTGCAGGGATGGTAGCCCCTTCTGAGGGCATGAAGCCTGCCAAGTTTCAAGGAGATAGATGCAGAGGTTTCTCAGAAACTGCACCTCAAACTGCAAAAAGTAAAATTCATGACACTTGCCGGCAGCAGCAGACTCCTGTCATCCGGCATGCAGGTCCAGGGGCCCACACCCCAGGGAAGGGTGCGGAGCTGTGCAAGACTCCTCCCGAGGGTATGGGGCCCTGGATCTGTGACAGGAGGCTGCTGTTGCCACCTGGGACCAAAGCTGGGCACAGCTAGCACCCAGCACCAGGGAAGAGTAATACTGCTGCTGGCCCCAGGCAGCAGCAGCAGCAGCCTCGTCTCATCCAGTCTGGTGGCAGGAGGCAGGGGATAGCCAGTAGGCCTGTACGAAGCAGCTAGTATTTGCTTCAGATTCAGCCAATTCAGGGGACAGTGATTTGATTCTGCTGCTGAATCTCTGAATCGCCCAGGCCCATCCCCCACCCACCCCAGCTCCCAGCACTTTGAAGAAAGAAAAAAAAAGCCGTGACTCACTGGGTGCTGCCAGGCTGGGGGGCAATCTCCACTGCCCCGTGGTGTTTTTGCCACTTAAGCATGGTTTCTGGTTCTGTTCCTCCTGCATTGTGGAGACACAGGCTTGCCTGCATAAACTGAGCATGTACAGCAAGCTACAAGCTGGCCGGAAATACACATGGGTATGTGCACACCTGAGTTTATTATGAAAAAAGCAACTGCAAGTGAGGTAAGGAGAAGGACCTTTCTGTGTTTTAGTCCCAGTAGCTGAGCAATTAAAGCACTTGCCTAGGGAGCTGGAAACCTGAATTCTAACCTCTTTTTTTCTACTTTTGCACAAGAGAGGGTTTGAACCAGTCTCTCTCTCTCTCTCACTTCTTGGTACTGTGGTGTAAGCACCATGCTACAAGTTAGACATTACCTAGTGCTCCTTTAAAAAGCTGAGCTTCTGCCCCATAAGTTCGGTCACTGGAAAAGTGGATAGAATAGTACAGTGTGGTAGTTTCTGCCCCAGTGGGAGCAAAGCTGTAGACCTGAACTTGGGGCCTGGTCCCTTCTAGGTTGAACATCGTTGTGAACTAGGCACCCTCCAGCTTGTTCTTTCTCCTACATATTTCCCTGTTTTGGTTGTCCAAGGGGTCAGCTGCAAAAGTAAAAATTTAGTGTCATATTTGTGGAGACTGAATTTGTTTAAATTGTGAATCAGGGATTTTAGTGCTACTTGAAAGTTTTCAATACAACTTTAAATATAGAGTTGCTGTTAGTGCCTCAGTAATAAAACTATAAACCTTTTGAATGAATGTGTGGATGCTGTTAAAAAATGCCTTGAGCTGCAATTTTATGGTTTGTCAGCAAAGCCCATCAATTGAATTAAATCCTTCTATTGCCTCTGGGCTATTTATTACTGCATGTATTATCTCTGAGAGCAGCATATCAGGGTTGGTCTTAGTGACTCATAGGATTGCTAATTTGAGAAGATGGGTTGCTGGTAGATGAAATTTGGTTGCCATCTGATCATGGTATGTAAGGTGAGCTGGTGCTTAAGAATGTGGCCATGCTTAATGAGTTATCATTATTGACCTCCTCCGTCACTAGACATGATACTTCATAGTCGGGGTGAGATAGTGCACTGCCGTTCCCTCATTACTACTACTGTGTTGGGACTAGGTGCAGATCTTTAAAAGCATTTCAGTCCAGTCTCTCATCTTTTGAGCACTGAGTTCTCTTGGAAGGTTCCTTTTTTATTAAAAGGTACAAAGCAAGATTTAATATTTGGTTTTAAAAATGCATTGATTTAAACAATTAAATATCATGCTAATTCACATTTTAAAATATTTCCCCCTGCATATTCATTACCTTATATCAAATCCCGCAGGAAATCTCTGGAAGAGGTCTTGATTCATCACCCTAGCACTGGGTTTCAAAGAAATGTATAGGTGCACCAATATATCAGTCCATATTGGATTGGCATCAATAAAAGGAAAATTGACGTTATCAGCAATTGACTTTTCTTTGGCCAGTGTAGCTGATAATGTCACCAATAAATGCTGTGTGCATGCACGCAGCCACAGCATGCACATGACCGGGAATGCAGCCGGCCAGCTTGGAGAGCAGCATTGGGCTGGTAAGTCTGTGGGGAGGAAGGGGCGTGGGGGCAAAGATAGAGGTCCCCATGGTAAGGGAGGGAATGGGGCTGGGGCTGGGGCAGGTGCTGGCAGGGAGGGGTACGAGATAGAGCTAAAGGTGGCTTGTCCAGGGGGCAGGTGAAAGCAGCTCCTTGCTGCTATGCACACCCCTGGGGAAGCATGGGGGAGAGGCATGTGGCCCCCAGCCCTGGATTTGTGTGGGGCCAGGGCAGGCTGCCAGCTCAGCAGCCACAGCATGCACATGACCGGGAATGCAGCCGGCCAGCTTGGAGAGCAGCATTGGGCTGGTAAGTCTGTGGGGAGGAAGGGGCGTGGGGGCAAAGATAGAGGTCCCCATGGTAAGGGAGGGAATGGGGCTGGGGCTGGGGCAGGTGCTGGCAGGGAGGGGTACGAGATAGAGCTAAAGGTGGCTTGTCCAGGGGGCAGGTGAAAGCAGCTCCTTGCTGCTATGCACACCCCTGGGGAAGCATGGGGGAGAGGCATGTGGCCCCCAGCCCTGGATTTGTGTGGGGCCAGGGCAGGCTGCCAGCTCAGGGCCAGGGGCTGCACTGGGCTCTTCCTGGCAGGTGGGAGGGAGGGGTCCTGGGTGGGAGCAGGTCAGGCAGCAGTGGCACTGGGAGGGGTGGATACAGCCACCCCAAAATTCCCCATAGCCGCCTCTCATAGCACCGCTGCTGCCCATCCAAGCACAGCCCTGACCCAGGTAGCCTTCCCTCGCCCCATGCACAGATCCAGGGGGACATGTCTCCCCTGGAGGTATGTGCACAGGGGGAGCTGCCTGCAACTCCCCACTGCAACCTGCCCCACCCTGACTGGACAGGACTTGCCCCAGCCTCAGCCCTGCTCCCTCCTTTACCATGGGTGTCTTGATGTGCCCCCCCACTCCACAACACCTCCCTCCCCCACTTTCCCTTCCTCCCCCCCCACAACTGACTTAGCAGGAAGATGCTGCTCTCCAAGCTTCCGGGCTGTATATCGGCTATCGGATCAGTATTGGCTGATATGGCTGACTAATAATCGGTCATCAGTATGAGCCGAAAAAAATCTTTATTGGTGTACCCCTAAAAGAAATACTTCAGTGTAATAGAATTATTGTTAAACTATCTTGCTGACTAGTAGATTAAGCAGTAAGTTTATGTGGGTTTCCCTTCTACAAATCAAAATAATCTTTTTCTGTTTCAGTGAGAAAATGTACTTAATACCTTGCAAGCAATCCTAATTTGTAATTAATCAAAAGAATGTAATTACAAAAATGGTATTGAATTTCAGTATTGATGGTGTATAATGATCCCATTTTATTGTATTGAGGAAAAAATAACTCACTGTGGGGAAAAAAACCTGAAGTCTGTTATGTGAAATGTATATGTAATGCAGTAACTATTCATCATCCAAAATAATTATATGTGTGTCATCCTGCCAGCTAGAAAAATTATTTGAAGCTCAGTTCCACTTTACAAATTAGCTTTTGGGTTTTTTTCAGCTTGGGCTAGATTCTTCTTCATTTATCAAATCTATTTTCAAGACATTTTTAAGAATTAATTTTTAAAAGTTATTCTGTCATGTATGGACTTACATTTATTCCACTTGCTTTATCTGCTAATGAAACCAAATGTGTATTTTTATATATTCCAAATTGGATACTAATATAATTAATATTTTTCCTTTCCATAGCTGTGTATGCCTAAAGGGCTATCTTTCAGGACTCAGGCTGATAACAGAGACCCACAGTTCCACTCTTTTATAATTACCAGAGAAGATGGTTCTCGTACTTATGGATTTGTGCTTACTTTCTATGAAGAGGTCACAAGCAAGCAGATCTGTACTGCAATGCAAACGCTTTACCAAATGCACAACGCAGAACAATACAGCAGTGTCTATGCCTCGTCTTCATGCAGCATGGACTCCCTAGCAAGCAGCATCGACGAAGGAGATGCCACTTCACTGGCCAAGCTCCAGCGGTACAACTCCTATGACATCAGCAGAGACACATTATATGTATCAAAATGTATATGCCTCATCACTCCTTTGCCCTTCATGCAGGCTTGCAAGAAGTTCCTTATCCAGCTTTACCAGGCAGTTACCTCTCAGCAACCCCCACCTTTACCACTGGAGAGCTATATCCATAACATACTTTATGAAGTGCCCCTTCCACCTCCTGGAAGGTCACTGAAGTTCTATGGCGTTTCTGAGCCTATCATTTGCCAGAGACCTGGGCCTAGTGAACTTCCACTATCTGACTATCCTCTTCGGGAGGTCTTTGAACTGCTGGGATTAGAAAACCTCGTCCAGGTTTTTACATGTGTTCTGCTGGAGATGCAGATTCTTCTGTATTCACAAGGTAAGCTGTCCTTCTGGATTTAAGTTACTGATTCTGTCAGGCATCTTCTGTACAACTGTGGTGCTGACAACTTCTGTGACCTATTGGTTTTCAAGGGATTAGTGAGACCCAATCATGTAATAAAAAGAAATGAAGCAGTACTAATGAAAGAACCAAGTAATTGTTTCCTCTAGCCAGGTTAGGTGTCACTTGTTTAATTATGCGTCATATTTATCACTCATGACAGCTAGTGATAGAATTCACTTAATTATCATGCTTAAACTGTGTTCTTGCTTATCTTGAAAGGCAGCACAAAACTAAATTTTCCTTTTGCAAGAAATGACAGGATTAAGTACTGTGCTTCGCACACAAAACTACATTGAATATGCTTTCTCAGATTCAGCACCACACTAAAGGTGTTATATGATTAGAGTTGTTAAAATGAAGAGATAAATTTGGTTAAGACGTTGAACATTTTAACCTTTGAGATCACACCTTAAAAACTGGGTTGGGTTTATAAATGGAGATTAAGTTACTGATCTTGCAGTAGGTCTTCTCATAGGGGTGCAATTAACCATCAAAGCTATATTTGCAAAGTTGGAGGGAAGGAAATTTTCACTGATCCTGTCTCCACTCATGTTATTTAAAGTTTCTGGAAGTCTTGACTTGTCAGGCAAGAACAGAACGCTTTCTTTTAACTTGGGTTACAAGCTTTCAGATACAGACTCGGAAAACAGCTAGTTCACACTTGGAGGACTATAAGATTTTGATTCCCATACTTTCATTGTTATTTTGTTCATGGTATTTGTCTAGGGGCCAGACTTAAGAGCCATATATATCATATGACTTTCTAATTCCTACTGAATTCTTCAATGGAAATTTAATTATTTGGAGATCTGTACTGCAATGCAAACGCTTTAACAAATGCACAGTGCAGAACAATTTAATTATTTGGAGGCTCTTATAAGTTGCACTGTCTGCTTCCACTGTCTCCTAAACACTTCTGTAAATCTGGCTCTAAGTGCCTAAAGCATATCTTGAAAAAAGGAGTTGGGGCAGATCTTGGAACAGGATAAGTAATAGGCAGCATGCGTGTCTTTAAAGATGCAGAATGCTTGTATCTTCTATGAAGGCATTGAGAAGTGCAGGCCATCCGCATCCTGGAAAATTAGGTCACATTTTTGTGGGCCAGGGAAGGATATGGAAGTTGCCCAAAGATAAATATAGATTCTCAGCCTTGGGCCTGTAAGTTGAAAATGTTGCACTTCCATACACACCCCTGGGGATCTCCAAGGCATGTTTCCATAAACAGCAAAAACCGGAGTTCCCCATTTATAGAGACATGCCCCTGGAGATTACCAGGGGCACATCTCTGAAAAAGAGAAAAGCAGGGGAAGGACTTATGGGGCTTCAGGGGCCCACTTTTCTGCACAGAAATTCCCAAGCCCTGCAAGACTGAGCCCCTCAAGAGGTGGCTGGAGAGTGAGCAGTTCCATGCTGCCTGTGCTGTCCTGTCATAAAGCAAATAGACATCTGCCACAAAAAAAAACCTATTACTACCTTCTATTTCAGCTACAAGCAGAGGCATTTGTGGTGTGACAAAGGTCATAGACCTCTATACTTTTGCTTTGTGCCACCATCAAAATTATGGCATCAGATAGCTGATGACTATTTCCAACCTCATTGCTTCTTGTGTCCCTGGACTGGATTGCCCGTCGTGGTTGATTTAGGAACTGTTGGTTTCAACTTCCTGTTACCAGGGCAAATATCTTATGCAAACTTTTCTTTAGTATCGGCAGTTCTAGTAAAGAAAGTCTTTTAAGCAAAGAGAGTGCAAGTATTAATGACAACCCATGGAGAGCTCGAGGCTGACCACTTAATGTTTGTGTGCTAATTATGAGCCTTTATAGACCCCTAAGACTGGTGTATCATAATACTGCCAAAGTGGGGTGGCTGCAGCATGTGGCTGTTTATACATTGGCTAGTTTTAATGAGTACTAACATTAGATGCCATTTTCGTGGCATTTTACAGATAGTCTCTAACCTTTATTACTTACCTGCCCACCTGGGTAGAGCAGCATAACACCATGTTGCACCTGTGGCAGTTGCAGGAGTTAGGTGACTTGCACAGAGGTATATAGGACTCATGTACACGCCACAATTTTTGCCCTTTCATGCGCTGCAATTCTGTTTGCACAAGTGAGATTTCCCAACCTTTAAAAATCTTTCTTGTGCAGTAAACTAAAACTCCGTGAATGTAATTTAGTTTGGCTGTCTGGGAATTAAAGTGTCTCATCTGTGGATCCGTTGCATGCAAACATAAATGTACTCAAAGATGTGTAATGAGTCTCTTTGTCTACCAGATGGCACTGCGATTTTTTTGCAGTTCACCCCCTTTGAATCCTTTTGCTTTCAAATTGCTTCCACCTTTTTTTTCTTGTGGGGTTTGCCAGCTCCCTGCTTCCATAGCTGCATGGCAGGGCACAGGCACATGGTGGTTGGGGGAGCCCAGGCTGGGGGGGCAGTGCTGGACCATCCCACTGTCCTGCAGCACCGGCCAGGGACCAGGGTTAATTCATTTGAAAACCTAGTGCATGTAAACACAGATGCAACGCTCCAAAATAAACAAGTTTAAATTTTATAATCATATTTAATTTTAATGAGGATTAAAACCTGTGGTGTATATAGGTGCCCATTATGATTTGGGGTTAGATTTGCTCAATCCTAAACTCATTTTCTTATCTAATACTGCCCTTCCAATTGAAAAGCTCCCATGACCTAAATGGGAGCATGGGCATGTCTGCTAAGGAAAAAGTAGCTGTGTACTAAAGAATTGTTTGTTCCTTAGCAGAACATTAAATTTAATTGGACATAAAACGTGACACTTCAAAGAGCTGAGGCTTGGCACATCAACCTAGTCATTTTGGGAGCCAGCTTGTTAGCTGTCAGGCTGCACCTCTGAACCTAGTCTTGAACACAACATGAAAGTACCAAGTTGCAACAATGACATTTTACTCGTCCCAGATTTGTATAGCCATCAAGACAAAGAAATGCCCACTCACTCAGGTAGAAGTTATTTGGATGTTGGGATTCATGCTTCATGGTGTTGCCAACTCAAAGCATTCAAAAATTATAAGGCCTTCCCACAGCATGAGATTTCAATTTTGTTGTTCCTTTCATTTACTTTTAATTTTTAACTTTTGGATTCTTCTGAGTTACATTGTCTTCCATAACCATGACTGTTAGGAGATTCATTTTGTAAAACTGAAAGCTCTGATATCCCCGTGGCTTTAGGAGTTGAGATTTTAAGAATCTGTACCAAATAGTAAAAGGCTTGCAATGAAATCGGGGGAATTGGCAAACCAAGCTGAACTCCCTCTAACTACTAGTGTAGAAACAATTTGTAAAGCACATAACCCAACACTTATATTTTATCTAATGCCTTCTACACGCTTCTTATTTGGAAACACACTTATTTTTATTAAATCTAAGAAATTTTAATACCTTTTCATCAAGACTTTTTTCCCCTCTCTGTTGAAGTTGTAACTTTCCCATGTGACTAGGGAACTAATAGTATCATGAATACACGGGCTTCCAACAGTTTCCAAGTTAATAACGTTCTGTGATAGCTTCTACAATTTCCCAAGGATCAGTAACAAAATACTACCGGCGAGAGATCCCTGCTGGATAGAGATGAATTAAATTGTGGGCTCTGTGGAAACCTCGGCAATCCATTTTGTGAATGCCTGCCTTCCAAGGGATTTAAACAGGAGAGAGAACATGTGGACGAGACAAAGATAAACTTCTTATAGCTTAAGCTGTTTCTATTCATTATAATTTTGAGCATTTCCCAAGTTGTGTTTTTTTTTTCCAAAGGACTTGGATAATTGCCCCTAAAAGATTAAAATGCAAACATATTTAAATCTTGAAATTATAATATAAATCACTGTGCATACATAATTATGCTGTAAAAGTCATTTCAGTGCTCAGTTTTCTAGTTGTGGCCGTATTTTAATGTGTCATTTTCCATGAAGGCTTGGCAATCTCAGATACAGATTGTGTTAGTGTACCAAAAGATATTATTTTAGCAAAGTCCATCTATTTTTAGATAATAAAATGACTTAATTGTGACTTGATATTTGTAAAAGCATTTTATGTCAAACATCTGCCTAAAATATTTACCTTTGCACTCGCATTGCTCATTACATTAGTAGGTTTAGCTTATTTACATAGTGTTCCTCATAAATAAGTACAGATTGGACAACACTGTAGAATTTATGCTGCTTTTATTATGTTGAATGCCAATATTAAATATAGTTCATAATCCCAACAGCCATAAGACCTTTTAAAAGAAGAAAACAATAAATGGAGAGAATGATTTAAGGAGCCATAAGAAAAAAAACATTATTGTTCATGGTTTTTAAAAATAAGTGTGCCCAGTTTTTCAGACTGACAATCTCTGCATTTCAGGAAATGAGATTTTAAACTAATTAAGAAAAGTGGTGTGACAGCTGTCCATTATTGCATGTTGCATGTGACAATAATATAGCAGTACACAAAGCACAGAGAAAGATGCAAAACTGTCTTCCCTTGCTGTTTTTCTATTAAAAAAGCAGAATTTCTGTTTCTCAAGCTCATTGAATTTGCAGATACTGTAATCACTGAATATGATGAAAGCCAAGGTGATCAAGACAAACATGTTTTTCTTAATAACACTGCTGAGGAAATTCTCCTGTCTCCACACACACACCCCCTCTAGTGCCTGGATAACATAATAGGAACTAAGATCATTTGTTCAACATTTATAAGAAGAGCTTTCACACTCACCGTAGTACTACACTTTTTGCCTGCTCATCTGATTGGCAAAAAAATAAATAAAAAATACAATCACCATCTTCACTAGAGGGAAGTATTCTGTCACTTTCTATTAGTCACAGGAAAAATACTGTGCTGATAGTGTGTATCTTAAGCCAGCGGATATCACCATTTGTGAGCTTGTCATGGACTTTGGCCCTGCTCTG